AAAGTCACTATGAGACACTTTGGCGTAATACAGTAAAAATTATTATTTTTTTGTCTCTGTATTACAGGTTGCAGCTGGATTTAAAATGTCTGAAGAAGACTACTTTAATGAACAAAGTGGGGATAAGAACCAAGAATCTACTGGCATGCTTTTTTTTGTCCACACTTTCTTGATTTATAATCGTAGAATTGTAAAGTTAGAAGGGACCATAGGGGTCGCCTAGTCCGGGCCCCTACAACGCAGGCTCAAATCCACAACTCTTGAGATGGGAGAGTCTCTACCGACTCAGCTATCTCCCGCCTGAAATCTACTACATTAGCATGAAATGTCCACAGATAGACACGAGATTGCCAGTGCAATCTTCTGACCTGAAGTGTGCTTGTGAATCACTGTGTGAGGAAGTGGGGTGGGCTGAGAGTTGCACTGAACCTCTGCGGAGATGACTGGAGATTTCTGTCAGGAGCAACCCAAGCCGCTCTTCTTCTGAAATATCACCTCCATCAGATGCCTCCTGTCCCCAAGGTGCTTCCATTGCAGCTGGTCAGGAGAAGGACTAACATTTAACTTTTAAGAATTGGTTCCCAAGTTTGCTTTCTTCCACTTCCCAACCTCTTCCTTTTCCCTTGTGTGTCACATATCTTTTTGAGCTGTCAGCTTGCAGGCAAGGACTGTCCTGTTTTAAATTGATTGTATATTAAGTCGCACAGGGAGCCTTTTCTGCTGAAGGGAGAGGTGTGTGAAGGCTCTAAATCAGGCCTGGAGTTCAAACCTCAGGCCTGGAGTTGAAATGCATTAAAGCAGTGCTCCTCAAACAATCTGATGTGGCGGACCAGCAATTATTCCCCCAATGTGCCAGGGACTGGAACCATATTTGGTCCCTGACACGTTCCACCCAACCTGGGCTGCGGTGGAGTTGCTGTGTACCAGCAGCCATTGGTACTACCCTTCCCCTAACACCCCATTGCAGAATACTCCCATAATAAAATGCCAATCTGGAAGGACCCTAGGTAAAACCTTCAGCCTATCCAGCTCAGCATTTATCCCAGGATGGCTTACTTGTGACCCTCCAAATGTTGGAGGACTCCAACTCCCAACAGCCCCAGCCAGCATGCCCAATGGTCAGGGAGAACAGGAGGTGGGCTTCAGCACCATCTGAGAGCCAGTGTGGTGTAGTGGTTAAGAGCAGTAGACTCGTAATCTGGTGAACCAGGTTCGCTTCCCCGCTCCTCCACATGGAGCTGCTGGGTGACCTTGGGCCAGTCACACTTCTCTGAAGTCTCTCAGCCTCACTCACCTCACAGAGTGTTTGTTGTGGGGGAGGAAGGAAAAGGAGATCGTTAGCCACTTCGAGACTCCTTGGGGTAGTGATAAAGCGGGATATCAAATCCAAACTCCTCCTCCTCCTCCTCTTCTTCTTCTTCTCTGGAGGGAGACAAGTTCCCTTTCCCTGAGCTACACACTGACAGAGGCAGCTCTTCAGGGTTTTGGACATTGTTATGGGCTGGCTGGATGCAGGAGAGAGGCACCAGCTGAGGAACCCCCCTAGAGAACCCCCAGGGGAAGAAGGCTCAGAGCTGGGGGATTGGTGGCGGGATGACGATTAGTGGTCAAAGGGAAAAGACTGGAGGGGGTGGTTTCAGAAGCTAGAAGGACAACAGGGTTTAGTGAGCAGGGAGAGTCTGTAGCAGAGAGCAGTTCAGACTGAAGTGGAGGCTAGAGAGAAGAGTGGGGTCATGAGGTGGCTGAAGAATCCAGGGAGTCCCCTCCTGCTGCTGCAACCAGCTCCCTTCCCTGCTAGTTTCCGAGAATGTGCAGAAAAATGAAAAGGGCAGAACAGAGATTAGTTGTACAGTTTGAGACTGCATGGGGAAAACCTGGGAGAGGGGTAGCCTTAGAGAGGGGTGGGAAGGTGAGGACCTTCAGTCTTTGCAACCGTGTCATTGGGGCAAGACCTGCTGGGAAGGGTTGCTGAGACCACTAGGCCTGAGCTGTATTTTGGTTTACTTGAACAAAGAGTTAACATCACTGGCATCAGTGACTTATTACTTTAGTGCTGACCTGGATCTGACTCCAACTTTGCCAGCCCTACCTGGATTGAACCCGTGGTCTCCTGCTAGCGAAACCCATGCTCTGCCCAAATGCCTTGAACCACCCCTGCACAGATCCCCTGTGCAACCCTTGCATGGAAAAGCACATTTTCGAAGACACACACGCACACACATAAAGCAGCCAAGCATCTTCCAATGTAGCCTGTTGAATTTTTGTTTATTTGCCTTTTTTCATGGGGAAAAACTGAAATAAATAACATTTGGAGGGGGGGCAAAACAAAAACAACAAAACAACCAGGAAATGTTTTACTTATTACCAGAGTTATTTCTTCCTTCCTTTTCTCCCCCTCTCTTCTTTGTGCGCATGTGTATAAGCTTTTTCCACGGCTGCTTTGGTTTTCCCAACGGCAGCTCCAGCCGGCTGCCAACGCTACGATGGAGGGGGGTCCTACTGCATACTGGGAATGTAGAGAAGAGGTACTGAGTTTGAAGAGGTCAAGGTATAAGGCTGCTGATCAACAGAGAAAGAGAGAGCGTGCGTATTAGAGTCTTCCTCCTCACCTCTTGGGCTCCCTCAATGCACGGTCACAGTGGAAGGTCAGTTGACTCCTGGGTCCTCCGCCGAGAAACATTCGGTGACCAGCTGCCCCTTTTAAGTCTGATGGTAGGCTATTGCAGTGCGTTCTCTCTCTTGATAAAAGAAGGCGTTTCGGCTTTTATTGGTAAAGGAAACGGAAGGAGGGACCTCTTGAAGAACAAGGGGAGTATTTTGCTACAAAGTAGGTGGGACTTGCAAAAAAATAATAATAATAAATGTCCCCCCCACACACAGAAAGGCCTGCCCTGGAACACCAGGCTGAAAAGCTCTGGAGGAGGATCTCTCTCAATAAAGGGCACTTGAGAGAATGGCAGGTGGATGTGATCTCTATCTCTTGACCGCTCTGGGGCCAGAGCAGAGTTATCATATGGTCTAGAAACCTGGCAGGGCGTAATTCCCCCCCAAGCAGGAACCAGGTAGGCACATGAGGAATACAGGTGGATATCCAGGTCACATCTGCAGTCTGGAGTGGTGCGCCGCAGATGTGCCCCCTTGCCCACAGCTCTTTCAACACTCTCGAGGTTTGGAGCAAGTAGAAATAACTCTCCCAAGCCCAGCACACCTCCCTAAGGTCCTCCTTAATTTACTTCTTCCAGCGTTTGGAAAAGTCCAGACAAAACAACCCTTTGATGTGGCACATTGGTGTTGTATAAAAGGTGATGCAGTATTGGCTAGCAGGAGACATCATATCGGATGATGCTTTCCACTGGCCCTGCGCAATCGACCGGGGCCAGTGCAGGCAATCCCCTTTTGATGATCTCTTCACTCACAGGAGCGGTCCTCCCCATATGGGAACTGGCGGATCTCCGCTCCTTGTAAAGGTATTATTTCAGACCTCCACAGACCATGGAGGATGTCACAGCTGAGATCTGAGGTCTTGATGAAAACAAGGAGTTAAGGAGCTGGCAGGTTTAGCGTACCAGAGGAACGATGAACAAAGCCACATTTCAATGACACTCGCTATAGAATCCCGGGCATAATTTTGTACGATGGTTTAATTCATTGGCTGTTAGTTGCCCTGAGCTTCCAGACTGGAGGAAGGGCAGGTTATAAGGATCTTGGACAAAATAAATAAAACTATTGAGTTCCACGAGCGGAGTTGGAAAATAAGCATGTGCTCCGTTTTTATCACTGTTGTTCACAACAAGCAGGCAACTTCTGTGAGTGAAGAAATAACAAAAGGGCGACATGTGAACTGTTCCCCGCCCCCACTCCCTTTTGTTTTCCCGGGTTCATAGTTCTGGTTCTGAGAAATGGAAAGATAACAGTACAATAAACCTTTGGAGCCCAGGTCAATTCTTGTCAAATTTGAGCCTAAAGCTATTTTCGTTTTTTGAAAGAAAGAAAAAAGTCTCAAAGAACATGACCCCGTGATTCTAGTCTATAGATGTGTCTTCTATTATCTCGTGCCTTACTACTGATCCAAGTATTTATGCTATTGATCCATAAGTCCATATGCGTTTTCATTCGGATAACTGCCATGGCTCGACGTGAAGCATTCCAGCAAAATGGATATCCAGCTATTGCTACAGCACATATAAAAAAGTTGATCCGTTTGGAAAACCAGCGACGATATGCGTTCGGGTTTTTAAGATTATTATTCTTAAGTACATAAAACTTAGCAAAACGAAAATTGCAATGTTCCCTGTTTTTTGGGGGGGAGGGGGAATCTAATAAGATAGTATACATTTCTTGGTAATGTGGCATTTTGCCTGTAGGTGCCAAAATAAATATTCTCAGCTACTTGTTGATGATTCCCAGTTAGGAATTATTCTGTTTGGTGTGTGTTTTTTAAAATTATTTTATCAAAATGGCAAAACCTCTTGTGAATCATGGGAATTTTTTGGAGTCCTAGATTACTATAGTGATGATGCAGCCACTAGTTATAAGAGAAAACGGGTAAACACAACTACCCCTCAATCCAGTGGATGCAATCCACAGTAGAAATAGGTTTCCCTGGATGTGAATCTATCACATGGCAGGTGCGGAAAAGGCTGCTGCGGAGTCGACAGGAGGGGGATGGACAGGTGGACGACAGGCATCACCCGGCAAGGTGCCGATCCATGCAGGTGAACCATATGCTACTCCTCAGAGGCCCCTGAAAAAAAATCAGCTTAGCTTGGAGAGCTAAACAATGTCTTTGCCGTCACAGCCTTCTGCTGGTCCTGCCATCTCCTGGATCAAGGGTGTTAATTGTGCATGTTTTCTTTGTGTTCCTTGAGAGTGGGTGTGGGTACGATTCCTGCCCCCACCCCCACCCCCGAATTGCATGACTTGAGCTACTTAAGATTTTTCCATCTCCCAGCAGGCCAGAGAAATAATCTTAACAGCAGCAAGAACTGTGAGAGAATGGCTTAAAAGTTCAAAACATTGATTCTTCCCCCCGCCCCCACTCCATGCTGAATGTTTTAATGGATTCCTGCAAAGAAGAAAATGATTAAAGGGGGTGGGGGGAATCCCAATAAGAAGCATCTGACAGGGGAACTGGTGGTGCTATTAATGTGCGTTCAAAGAGAACATTCAGCATTAAGGGGATGCTGCAATTTGTTTCTTCCTCTCTAATCTTGCACATTAATAACAGGCTCAAAACGCCTCCCAGCACTTGGTAATTACTGTATATTGTTCAGAGCTGCTTTGGGGGGGGGGGCTTTCGTACTTCAGGCCTTGAAATACCCTCTAAAGTCGGGCGCACACTTACTGAGGAGTAAACAGCACTGAGCCCAGTGGCACTTACTTCTGGGCAAACGTGCGCAGGATCTTAAGAGCACACCTACAGCACTGAGCTTCGCCTAAGTCTCACTCCCAATCCTTCTGGAGCATTGCATGATGGGAATATATCCCAGGATGCAGTTCTCCAGGTTTTTGGTACTCAATATCATGAGAGAAAGAGGTGGGTGGTTTTTTTGCAAAGTGTGTGTATGATGGAGTCTCTACGGCAGGGCTGAGAAGTAGTTGATTCAACCTGGCACTAACCCCTGCCTTGAAGTGTGCCGAGTAATTCAAACTTGACGTGATTTTTGTTGCTCATTGCTCGAAAAGAAACTCTAAGGGAGGCCTTCTGTATAAGCAAGGCCCTGCCTCCCCAAGTCGTTTTCTTTGTTTGCTTAGTAACAGTCTCTTCAGCCATTGTGCATTCCAGCATCTAGTGGACACGATCCACATGAAGGAGATGTAGAATCTCTTTTATCTGCTTACGATTTTCTTGAAGGTGAGGGGCGGAGGGAGGGTTTCGTTTTTGGTCACACCACAGTGCTAATCGTAGACGACTCTTCCGACTTCTTCTGCTTGCTGGGCAAGGACTTGAGATATTCTAGGTGCCTCCGGGCGTCTTCTTGGTTCTGCCGGACATAGTAGATCAAGTACGAGATCACCATGGCGAACCAGCCGAACATGGTGACCAGCATGGCGATGTCTGTGGTCTTCTTGTAGATGTTGCAAAAGTCTATGTCCCCCACCAGTTGCAGAAAGGGCTTGCCGATGTGCTCCTTCCGGGCCGAGGCGTCGCAGATGATCCCGTCGGAGGTGCCGGCCACCAGCTCCACCCTCTCGACGAGCTGCTGGAGGGTGCAGTCGCAAAGCCAAGGGTTGCTGGAGAGGTTGGCTTTGGCTTTCAGCGCACTGAAGACATCCTTGTTGACAGACACCAGCTTGTTTGAGGACAGGTCCAGAGCGTGCAGGCTTTCTGACAATCCCCGGAAGGCCCCGACCTCCACGCGGCTGATGGCGTTGTGCGACAAGTCGAGTTCCACCAGAAGGGGCAGGTTCTGAAAGGCGTCGTTAGGCAGGAAAGAAATGTGGTTGTAATCCAGGTACAATTTGTTGGTGTCGTTGGGGATATCCCTGGGGATAACGGTGAGCTGGGCCTTGCTGCAGCGGAAGGTTTTGAAGCCGTCCTCGGTAGAAGGGTAGCAGCCCTTGGGGAAGGTGGTGGCGGAGTGGAAGCAAAAGGCTATCAGGACAAAACTCTGGAGGAGCAGCCACATGGCAACCGAGTGATAGAGGAGCCAGTCCAAAAAAGGCATGGCGGAGCATCTGGGGAGCCACGGTGAAGCCGCTCGGTCATCAGTTGCTTGGTGGGCGTCCTTTGCCTCTGGGGGAGCCTCCGAGGCTGCGGCTCGGGGATCACTAACTGAAAAGACAGAGCAAGGGCAACACTGGAGCTGAGGCAACGTTTCGTCATCACAATGAAACACCACCACCACCAAAACAAAGTACAGTCGTACCTTGGAAGTCAAACGGAATCCGTTCTGGAAGTCCGTTCGACTTCCAAAACATTTGGAAACCAAAACACAGCTTCTGATTGGCTGCAGGAAGATCCTGCAGCCAATCAGAAGCCACGGAAGCCTCGTTGGACGTTAGGGTTCCAAAGAAAACGTTCGCAAACTGGAACACTCACTTCTGGGTTTGCGGCATTCGGGAGCCAAAACGTCCGAGTACCAAGGCGTTTGGGATCCAAGGTACAACTACATGTAGTCCTGGGGTTTTTGACATGGGTGCCCACCAGCGTTACAGTATATGAAAACGGCAGAGTTTGCCCCAAATGAGCAAGCTGTGGCCCTCCAGATATTCACAGAATTGTAGAGTTGGAAGGGACCCCAGGGATCATCTAGTCCAAGCCCCTGCTGGACTCCAACTCCCATCAGCCCCAGCCAGCACGGCCCATGGTCAGGGATGATGGGAGCTTTAGTTTAACAGCATTTAGAATTCGTTTTTATCAACACTGTATAAAGGTTAAGATTAGGTGAATTGCAATAAAAATCATGTGATGTTTATAAGGTTTTTTGTTTTGTTTTTTTACATGGGTGTTATTTTATTTTTTCTTCTTCTCAAGTCTTATTTTACCCAGTGCTCTTATAATTATATACCGTATTTTTCCGCCCCCATATATAAGTCCTCTTTTGGGGGACTCCAAATTAATAAAACACCCCTCAGCACTACCCGTGTATAAGACGAGCCCCAATTTTAAACCTTATTTTTTGGTTAAGAAAAAAACCCTAGTCTTATACACAGAAAAATACAGTACTTCTTATTTTTCAATAAAGTGTTTACACACACACACACACACACAGAGAGAGAGAGAGAGAGAGAGAGAGAGAGAGAGAGGTGTATCTTCCACTGCACACAAGATATCATAGTCAATACCAGTCCTGAAGGAAACCTGAGAGCTACAATTCTGGAAGCAAGGCTAAAGATCTGAAGTTACCAGAGCACCTTCACTGGAGTTCTCATAGAATCATAGAGTTGGAATAGACCACAAGGGCCATCGAGTCCAACCCCCTGCCAAGCAGGAAACACCATCAGAGCACTCCTGACATATGGTTGTCAAGCCTCTGCTTAAAGACCTCCAAAGACGGAGACTCCACCACACTCCTTGGCAGCAAATTCCACTGTCGAACAGCTCTTACTCATAGGACATGGCATGAGACTGCTGGGCCAGAACAATGATCTACCTAGTTCTGCATCCTGTTCTCTCAGTGACCAACCAAATGCCTGTGGGAAGCCCACAAACAGGAACCTGAGTGCAAAAACACTCTCCTGTCCTGTGGTTTCCAGCAATCGGTATTCAGAAACACACTGCCTCCAACCAAGGAGGAAGAGAACAGCCATTGTGTCTAGCAGCCATTGGAGAGCCTTGTCCTCCATCACACTTGGTGACCACCACTGCCTCCAGTGGAGCAAGTTCCACGGCATAATGTGAAGTACTTTTTGGCCCCCAACGTGCGTCATTTTACCTCAGAAGGGTAAACAGAGGACTCTCCTCTGACCGCCTCTTCAAATAGAGTATTGTCTTCTGAGAGGTAGGACACATGGCCACCTTCAAAGCTGAAATTAGAGGACAGCTTCTGCTGAAGATCTCAAGGCACGGGCAGGCTGGGAAGGGAGGAAGTGTTTCTGCAGGGTCCCACACTATTTAGGGCTTTAAAGGCCAGCACTTTAAACTGGGCTCAGAACTGAATAGGAAGTCCGCCATATTGAGGCCAGAGATCTTTAGAGCACTCCCTGCTCCGGCGCATCAATTGCCGGCTTGTGTCACTTTCTCATTTCCTCACCTAGTCATCTGAGCCACTGTTTCTGTATCCTCAACAGAGAGGGCACTGCTTGTCATCTGCTAAGTGGTGGAATCTGACACTCTGGTGTGGAATTTAGCCTCCCTGATCTTTCAAGAGACTTGCATTCAAATACATTCAATAAACATCTTTTCCTTTAAAAAAAAAGCACACACAGGCACAATTCATTGCTACTTGAACTTCCTTTTGTGATTAAGATCCTTGCATTTCTTTTAAAAAAATGTTGGGGGTGTGCCAAGTTCTCAGGTCCAATTTCAACGTGGCACTGTTCATGCTGGGGTTTAAAAAAACAAAACTTGTCTGAAGTCTCATGTGTCTAGGTGTTACATTTAAACTGGGTCACACCTGAACTTATAAGGAGCATAAGCACAACAGTGGCGTGGACCACGGAGCTGTGTTATAAACAATGGGCTTAAAGGGCGATGCTTTATACAACATGCCCCATGAGCAGCAATTGTGTTATTTTTAAAAAAATCCAGTACAGAGCTGCCCACGATAACTAGAAAATGGCCAAAAACAGTCCTGGAGGAGAAAGCTGTTTTAGAGAAGGGGGAATATCTTCCCACTCCCTCGGCTAGGCATGAGACCATCAAGGTGTCTGTGTCAGAAATAAATAATAACAATATTAATAATAATAATAATTTATTTATACCCCACCCATCTGGCTGGGTTTCCCCAGCCACTCTGGGAGGCTCCCAACAGAATATTAAAAACACAATAAAACATCAAACATTAAAAACTTCCCTAAACTGGCCTGCCTTCAGACATCTTCTAAAAGTCCAATAGTTGTTTATTTCCTCGACGTCTGATGGGAGGGCGTTCCACAGGGTGGGCGCCACTACCAAGAAGGCCCTCTGCCTGGTTCCCTGTAGTCTCAATTCTCGCAGTGAGGGAACTGCCAGTAGGCCCTCGGCGCTGGACCTCAGTGTCCGGGCTGAACAATGCGGGTGGAGACGCTCCTTCAGGTATACTGGGCCGAGGCAGTTTAGGGCTTTAAAGGTCAGCACCAACACTTTGAATTGTGCTCGGAAATGTACAGGAAGCCAATGTAGATCTTTGAGGACCGGTGTTATGTGGTCTTGGCGGCCGCTCCCAGTCACCAGTCTAGCTGCTGCATTCTGTTTTTCAGAGAATGGTAGACAGACAGGGGCTATGTACACACAACGTACATTGAAAGCTGAGTTGCCTCAGAAAGCATGTTGGGTTACAGGCTGTTCCCCTGGTGGCCCTGAGGTGAGCACAGTGGACTTTGGAGAATTAAAGCTATACCTCTACCTGTATCTGACCTGTCTATTTGTAAGGAAATGCAAATACTACAAATACCATAAACTCCCTGTAACCTTTTGCTGGAGGTAACTGGTGAACCCAGGTGATTGCTTCGTCCCCAAAACCTCTCACCAGCCAGGTGAGGCGAGCACTACAACATTGCTGTGAGACCGGGGGTCTGGGCAGGGCCAGGAGGACTACTTAAAGCTAGTCAGATCTGCTGGCCAGGCTCCAGACAGACAGACGTCTCCTTCTATTAAAGGAAGCTGCATTTTAATGTGTCTCCAAAAGAACTAACAGTCAGACAACTGCTTCCTGATATAGTGCCACTCTGGATGGTTCTGTATATGAAAAACCAATTAGAGAACGGGTCAGACTTCCCCTTCCCAAAAAGGATTAAAATGTAATCCAAGACTGTGAAGAAACACTGCCGTTTGAGTGAGACTAAAGAGGGGAAAGAAATATAGAGCTGAGTTTGGGCTCTGTGAGCAGAGGCAGACTTGGGGCACTGCAACCAGTTCCCCCCGCACAGGGCGCCAAGAGGGTGCCTTCCTTCCCAAAGCCTTGTTAGCGATTGCTCGGCTTTGGGAAGAAGACGGGGGGGCTCTAGGATGCAGCCAGAGCCTGGTGCCTCCTTCCCAAAGCCTGGCACCTCGCTCAGCGGTGCAAGGGCTGGGGCGTATCAGTTTTTGACCTTGCACAAGGCCTTACCAAGATCTTCCCCTGCTGTTAAAAGGTAAAGGTACCCCTGACCGTTAGGTCCAGTCACAGACGACTCTGGGGTTGCACGCTCATCTCGCTCTATAAGCCGAGGCAGCCGGCGTTTGTCCGCAGACAACTTCCAGGTCATGTGGTCAACATGACTAAGCCGCTTCTGGCAAACCAGAGCAGCACACGGAAACTCTGTTTTACCTTCCCGCCGGAGTGGTACCTATTTATCTACTTACACTTGATGTGCTTTCGAACTGCTAGGTTGGCAGGAGCTGGGACCGAGCAACAGGAGCTCACCCCATTGCGGGGATTCGAACTGCCGACCTTCAGATCGGCAAGCCCTAGGCTCTGTGGTTTAGACCACAGCGCCACCCACGTCCCTTTTCCCCCTGCTGTTAGCTAACAGCATTTGGGGATAGTGGCTGCATCTCTCTGGAAACCTGCTGTGGGAGCCACAGACTTTGACTGTGTTTGGAATGGCCTCCACCTACATCTGCAGGCATGTATAGAAAATGAAATACAGTCGTACCTTGGATCCCGAATGCCTTGTGAGTGGAACGTTTTGGCTCCCAAATGCCGCTAACCCGGAAGTGAGTGTTCCGGTTTGCGAACGTTCTTTGGAACCTGAACATCCAGTGCAGCTTCCGATTGGCTGCAGGACCTTCCTGCAGACAATCGGAAGCCACGCCTTGGAAGTCGAATGGACTTCCGGAACGGATTCCGTTTGACTTCCAAGGTACGACTGTATTGCAAAGCCCCAATAAGCCTACAGTGACTGCCTCCTGGTCAGCATCGCTGGACATTCCCACTGCTAGGAGAAATGGGAATGTCCACAATAATATCTACAAGGAACCCCTTCCAATCCCAACAGATGACCTGAGAATGCCCGCTGAATGGAAGAGCTGCCTGCTCCTTTCGGCTATGAGAAATTGGGAGCAAATCATTTCTAGCCACCTCTCAGATAGAAGGCCATAGGCAGGACTGGCGCTGAGGCAGACTATATTGGGAACAAGGGTGGGAGGAGACCAGGAGACCTCTTTTTGTCAAGAGGCTGCCATAGAGGCAGCATCAGGAGAGCTACTGA